CGACCGACGACGACGACGACGACGACGACGACGACGACGACGACGACGACGGACGACGACGGAGCGACGACGACGACGACGACGACGACGACGACGACGACGACGACGACGACGACGACGACGACGACGACGACGACGACGACGACGACGACGACGACTACTACTACTACTACTACTACTACTACTACTACGATTACTTCTACACTTGATGCATCGGTGATGCATCGGCGACGTCGGCGATGCATCGGCGCCATTGGCGTTGAAAAGCTTTGGCTCCGCATCGAGCCGCATCGTCGATACATCGGAGATGCGGAGTTTGTGTTCGGCGGCGAGCGGCGGCGACACACGCGATAAGGAATAGATGCGTAAATCATTGCTGAGTAACTCTCTCGGGGAAGTGTACAACTTGTCTACGCAAGGACACAAGGCCAGCGTGCAGACGTGGGTGGAAAGAAGGAACTCTTAGAATCGATGTGTGAAAATGATCCATCTGCTGCAGAAATCTGGTCGGCTCCGAATTATCGAACGTACTTGCAGTCGGTCGAATCCTGCATCACTTCCCCCCCTCCTTTGTAGATCAATGCCCCCCCGTTCACGTCATCGGCGCCCCCCCCCCCCCTCCACCCGTGCCCATGGAGCAGCGCAAGCAGGGCGGTAGAAGATGGCGGGGGGTAAAAAGGGAGATGGCAGGTGAGCGCCGTCCCTTCTCACTCCCCGCGCACCCCGCCCTTGCGCGCCCAGGGACAACTATGGAGCATGTGGCCGCCAAGCGTTCCCAGCGTTCGCGCGCCTGTGTTCTCCTCCTTTGCCGCCTGCTCTTCCTATCGGCTCCCTATGGGGCCCCGAAGCGCGTGAGGGGCGTGACGAAACGGGCGCGGTGGTGCCATGCGGGCACTGCCGCTGGGACCTTCGGCGGAGCTTCTTATGGGGCCCCGGAACACGTGATGGGTGTGCCGGAACGGTTGCGGTGGTGCCATGCGGGCGCTGCCACTGGGGCCTTACGGGCAGCTCACTATGGGGCCCGACACGTGTGATGGGTGTGCTGAAACGGGTGCGGTGCCATGCGGGCGCTGCCACTGGCGAAGCGTGTGGGGGGCGGATTGCAGATGGAGAATTGCAATGACGATGAGGATGAAGATGATGATGCTGATGATGATGCTGATGCCCATTATGATGCTGCTGATGCTGAAGCTGATGATGATGGTGAAGATGATGCTAAGCTGATGCCGCTGATGCCGCTGATGATGATGATGACCACGAAAATGATGATGATGATGCTGATGATGATGATGATGGTGCTGATTATAATAATAATAATAATGATGATGATGATGATGATGATGATGATGGTGATGCTGATGATGATGTTGATGCTGCTGACAATGATGATGATAAGGATGATGATGATGCTGATGATGCTGCTGATGATGATTCTGATTATGATGATTATGATGATGATGATAATGATGATGATGATGATGATGATGAAGAAGATGATGATGATGATGATGATGGTTATGATGATGATGATGATGATGATGATGATGATAATGATGATGATGCTGATGATGATGATACTGCTGATGATGATGACGATGATGATGATGATGATGATGATGAAGATGATGATGATGATGATGATGATGATGATGATGATGATGATGATGATGATGATGATGATGATGATGACGACGGCACGCGGAAAACAGAGGCAGGACTGGGAGGAAGGAGGATGAGGAGGAAGGAGGCGAGGAGAGGAGACGCGGGGCGCTTTCTGTTCGAAACGAGTAACTAGCCAGCCAGCTGGCAGCTGACCACTTAGTAGGCACTTACTAACCACTTCCCCAGCGCCGAATTGCGCTTATAGAGAGTTAGCAGACTTAGTCATGACCTAGCCCTGGCTAGTAAGTCGCTGCGCCGCTTACTGAGTGCTGTGCCCACTTGCAGAACTCACATCCCACTTGCAAGAGACTTACAACATGCACCCACCCGCTTATGCCCTCTAGTGAGGTCACTGGCCACTGACCAAGCGGCGTGGGCCTCCACGTGTGGGCCCCTGGGGCCACCGGGAGATCAAACCATTCTCGCGGTGCACCTGGTGTCAAACAGGGCTAGGATCGGGATAAATCGCTCCAGAGCGTTCCGGAGCGCTCTCAGAGCGTTCCGGAACGCTCTGGAGCGGCCACGGCGCCAAATACATCCTCCAAACCCGCCGATTCTCAGAGATTTCGAGTTATCCCGATCCGATTTTGTCCCGATCTTCGCGTCGTTTGATGGTGGCAGGCCGCTTTCGGATCCGACGCGCCGAGCGCCACGAGGAGGGGGGGCCGGGCCCGGGCAAAGGGCACGCAGCGCCCGACAACGGTGAGATGCGTCGCCGACGGATCGGCGACGGGCGCCCGCTACGGCGAGGCCGCGCGCTCTCCTGGGCGGGCAGGCGGGGGCCCTGGGCCCCGACTGGGCAACAAAGGCGGCCCCAGCGCTTCGCCGCCCCCCCTCCTCCTCCTCCTCCTCCTCATCCTCCTCCTCCTCCTCCTCCTCCTCCTCCTCCTCCTCCTCCTCCTCCTCCTCCTCCTCCTCCCCCTCCTCCTCGCTCCTCCTCCTCGCTCCTCCTCCTCCTCCCCCCCTGGGGCCAGCTGCCGACCCTGCCGCTGCCCCCATGGGGGCCGCGCGCGGCGCCCCCGCCACGGGGCCGGGGGGTGCTCTCCAGGGTGCCCGTGGCCCGCGTCGGCCCTGGCGTCCACTGCTCCGCCTCGGAGCCCCCCCAAGGGGACCCTTTAGGGTCCTTTCTCCCTCCCTCCCCGTTGATCGGAGCCCCCCAAGGGGGCCCTGGCCACGCGCAGAGGGGGGCAGGGGGAGGGGGGAAGGCTTCTCAGAAGCACCCCTGCTTCTTAGAAGGCGCGGGCCTTCTTTAAAGAATTGTAGGTGTGAGGCCGGCGCCTTCTAAGAAGCAGCCTCCTTCTAAGAAGCCTTCCCCCCTCCCCCTACCCCCTTGTGCGCGCCGCCAAGGGCCCTCCGGGCCTCGTCCGAGGGGGCGCCCCCGGAGGCCAGGTGGCCTCCCCTGCAAGACAGACGTGCGCATCCATAATCAGCGCGTTCTCCATGGAGTTTGAGTTGCTGCCTTTCAGACGCCTCAACCAGTGTCCAAAAGTGGCGTCCCCAGGCTATGCCCCAGATCCGGGGCAGAGCTCGGGGACGCCACTTCGGCCAGGGACGCTCGGATCCATCGCTGATGCATTGGCGATGCGGTGCGACCTTCCCGCCCCATTCTGCTCGGACTCCACCTGGGAGGCCCCGACGGGCGCGCAGGAGCCCGCCGCGCGAAGCCACCCGAGCGCGCCGCAGCACACCTTCTTTGACACCCGTGCGCGGCCCAGCGGCAGAAAGCGGGCACGCAGAAGGGGAGGGGGAGGGGGGAGGGACACGCGGGCCACGGGCGCCGACGCGCCAGGCGGCCTGCTGAGACGAAGGCACACGACGAGGAGGAAGCCCGGGGAAGCGGAAGCGGGAACCTCCGAGATCCGACGGCCCGTGGAAGAGGCCTCGGGCGCCGCGGCCTTCTCGGAGCCTTCCCGGACGCTCTGAGCGCGTTCCGGCACGCTCTGGAACGGATTTCCGAGCCTGCTTTTTTTTAGACTCTGGCAAGATTACTTGCATGGACGGGGGGGGGGGGGGCTGAGCCTGAAGCAAGCCGCAAACGACTTGCACGTTCGGGGGGGCGCGGAAATCACGCAAGTCGAAAGGCACTTGCACGCTGGTGTTCGATGGAAGAGGGGCGAGGGGGGGGGGGGGGGGGGCGAACGCCATGCAAGTAAACTTGCCTGAAACCCAAAAAAAACAAGCTCTTTCCATCCTCGCCCCGGCCCCGTCCGACCTGCGGCCGCGCGCAGCCCCAGACCCCCGACGTCATGAATTTTTCATGACGTCGACCCCCAGCGGTCTGGACCCATCCCCCGGGACCGGTTTTTCATCCCGAGTCGTTTTTTGACGGTCCCGAGGCCCGGTAAGGGCCCCCAGAGGCCAAAAATTATGAAAAACCTCCCGTCGTGATTTTTTCATAACTCGAGGGGGTCTGGGTCCATCCTCGCCCCGGCCCCGTCCGACCTGCGGCCGCGCGCAGCGCGGGCCGCGCGGGCGCCCTCCGGGTCGCCCGGGCGCCCTCCGCGCGCCCTCAGCCCTCGGACGAGGCCGAGTCGCTGTCGCCCGCCTCGGGGCCCCCGCCGCCGCCCTCGGGCCTCGGCGCGCTGGCCCGCCGCCCATCTGCGCCCGATCGCCGCCGCCACCGTCGGCGTCGCTGCCGCCGTCGGGACAAACCCAGACCCCCTCGAGCTCTGAAAAAATCACGACGGGAGGTTTTTCATTATGCTTGGCCAGTGGGGGCCCTTACAATCAATCAATCTGGCAAAGAATACAAAACAAATTTGTCGAGGCCCTGGTTTTGTTTCCTGGTGGGGGAGGGACCCGAGGTTTTTCATTCTGTTTGGCCTTAAGTCGGGGGCCCTTGCCGGTCTCCGGGACCGTCAAAAAATAACGACGCAGGGCGAAGAACCGGTCCCGGGGAGTGGGTCCAGACCCTTGGGGGTCGACGTCACGAGAAATTCATGACGTCGGGGGTCTGGGTTGGTGGCGCCTGCGCCACGCCGTCGGCATCGGCGGCGCCTGCGCCACGAAATTCGCCGGCCCAACGGGCCAGAGGCGTGCGAAGATCTCCGGCCACAGGTCAACAGCATGTCTATAGTTCGCGCGCGAGCGGCGGCCCCCGGGGGCCCCGGGACGAAAAGTGCCCTGGCCGATGCCCGGGCGATGCCCGGCTATCCCCCAGGGCGCTCCAGGAGCGGGGCCAGAGGGCGCCGGGACGCCCCCCTGCACGACCCGAGAGGCGGCCGAGTCGCCAGCAGGTCGCTCCAAGACGCTCAAGATGTTCTCCCGATGGCCCGAGGCACCCACGATGGCTTCCAGACGGCCCACGCGTACAAGACCCCCGAAGAGGCCACCAATAGGCCTCCCAAGAGAGCCCCAAGAGGGCCCCGAGAGGCCAACATCATTAATGTCACAATGATGTTTGAAGGATTTTGGCCTTCTCGCCTTTTCGGCTTTCCAACGCTCCAAGACGGCCCAAGAGGTCCCCAAGACCGCCCCAACACGGCCCAAGAAGCCTCCAAGAGGGCCCCAAGACGGCCCCAAAACAGCCGAAGAGGCGCCCAAGGTGACCCAAGAGGGTCCCAAAACGGCCCTCAAGAGGAACCCAAGAAGGGGACCAGGAACCCGAAAGTCCAGCCTTCAGCCCCAAGAGGCCCCCAGGAGTCCCCAAGAGGCCCCCAAGAGGCCCCAAGGGGCCCCCAAGAAGCCCCATGGGAGGCCCACAAGAGGCCCCAAGAGGCCCCAACACGGCCCCCAAGAGGCCTCAAAACTGCCTCCCAGAGGCCCCCAAGAGGCCCCAACATGGCCCCCAAGCGGAGAGGCAATATTGGCTGGCGGAATGAGCGCAGCGATTCAATAATGCAATCGATTCTGTTATCGCTTAATATAAGTTTACATAATGCACACAGACACACAGACACCCTCCGACGAACTGTGCATGCACCTTCAGGAACGGCGGCGATGCAGAAAGTCGCTGGCTCTCTGCAGTGACTCAGTCACCGCCGCCCTCCCCTGAGGCCCGTAGAGGGCCTCAGGGGAGGGCGGCGGGGCGGACAGCCACTTGGAGGGTGTAACTTTGTGTGTATCTTTGCTTCGGTGGCGGATCGTCGTCGTGCTCGTCGTCGGCGTCGTTGTCGTGCTCGTCGTCGGCGTCGTCGCCGCCGTGGTGGTCGCCGCCGTGGTGGTCGTCGTCGTCGCCTGCTGTCGAACGCCCGCGCCGGGACAGACGCCGCGCCAGCGCCGGGTGCGGCGAGGGCCTGCCGTGCCAAAAAATAAGGCTTCTGCCCAGCGCCCTCCTCGACGCCCGCCGCGGCGAGCAGCGACGCCGCGCTGTAGCGCGGGTCGTCCTTGCGAGGCGGCGGCTTCTCGACATCATGCCACGTCCACCGCCTGGGGAGCAGAGTTCCTGGGGCCCCAGGGTTAGGTCGGGCATGTCCCCCTACAGGCGGATTTTCGACGAAGCGATGAAAAAGGAACCAGAAAACACTCAAACACAGTAAAGAACAAATCGGGAAATCGTCGAAGATTCCTCCTGTCGAGGGGAGTGCCCGATTTCAACCCCCGGGGGCGGTGATATGGAGACAATCGGACCCCAGAGGGACCCCTATCGGTCCGCCGCCCGCATGGGGCCCGGGAAGATCGGCTGCCCAGGCGGTGGATGCCCAGACCCCCGACGTCGCGTTTCCCAGACCCCCGACGTCATGATTTTTTCATTACGTCGACCCCCCAGAGGTCCCGACCCTTTCCCCATGACCGGCTTTGCATCCTGAGTCGTTTTTTGACGCTCCCGAGGCCCGGTGAGGGCCCCCGGAGGCCGAAAATAGCGAAAAAAATCCCGTCGTGATTTTTTCACGACGCGAGGGGGTCTGGGTTTCTACACGACGCGGACCCACGGAGATCTGAACCCCTTCCCAGCTGACCAGGTCTTCATCCCGAGTGGTCTGTCTGACGGTCCCCAAGCCCCGTGAGGGCCCCCCGGAGGCCAAGAGTTCTCGAAAAGCCCTTCCCGCCCCGATATGCTTGTCACGACGCGATGGGGGCCTGGGCATGGGCAGAGGCCTTGCCAATGGAGTCCGAGCAGATGGGGTCGGAGGATCGCGCCGCAGCGTCGCTGCTGCATCGCCGATGTATCGGCGACGTCGGTAGTGCATCGCCGCCGCCGGCGTCGAGAGGATCGGGCTCCACATCAAGCCGCATCGCCGGTGAATAGGCGATGCGGAGCGTTCCTCCGACCCCACTAATTAAGGGTCGGGACGTTTGCCTTACGGTGTCGCCGCGGCGGCCTCTGCGACACAATGCCTTGCAAGCGGACGGCGTGTCGCTCCGCTCCGCGGGGCGGGAGGCTGGGAACAACTGGAGACGTCGACGCGGGAAGACCGCGAAGTCAATAGCGCGTCGCGCCGCAGCGTGGTGGGCCAGAAGCGGCGGAGCGACACACGAAGCAAATGAAGGGGAACTGGAACACACAAATAAATACACACAAATAAAAAGATTCCCCATATTTTCCCATATTTTCTGGATTTTTGTCTCCCCGCCCAATTCCCATATTTTCCCATATTTTCCTGGCACTCGACGATTAATTGTGTCTGTGTGTTTCTTTCCCTCCTGAGCAAAAGCTCCTGACCGTACTCCGACGCCGTCTACCCCGATCCCATCTGGGAGGATTAGACCTTCCCCCCGTGAGCGTCATCCCCCTCCCCCTCGGGGTAAAAACCTCCGGCCTCTGGCGGCCGATCGGGCCGATCCCAGCACCCCCCGGGACGCCCTCGGCGAGGCGCAGCCGCTGCTGGAAGGGCATCCCGGGGCTGGAGAGCCGCCGAGAGCCAACGAAAACGGCTGAAAACCTCGGACCTCGAACCCGTCGCGATTTTCCCAGACCCCCGACGTCATGCATTTTTCATGACGTCGACCCCAGCGGTCTGGACCAATTCCCCGGGACCGGTTCTTCGTCCTGAGTCGTTTTTCGACGGTCCCGAGGGCCGGTAAGGGCCCCCAAAGGCCAAAAATAATGAAAAACCTCCCGTCGTGACTTTTTCATAACTCGAGGGGGTCTGGGTTTGTCCCGACGCGAGGGGAGGGGGGGACCCCAGACCCCGAGTCCTCCACGTCGGGGCCGCGCGGGCACTCGCCGCGACGCGGGCGCCGCAGCTGCACGGCGCAGCCCTGCACAGCGAGCGTGCCGGTGTCCTTGGCGACGCGCCGGAACCTCGGCGGCGCGCGGCGCGGTGGCGCGCGCGGGGGGGGGCGCAGCGCATCCCCAGAGATCCCAGACGATGCTCGCGCCGCGGGAGAATGCGGGCCCTCGTCGGCCTCCGAGGGCCCGCGCCAGGCCCCGGGGGCGCCAACAGCAGCGGCTCCAGAGGCGCTGCACTGGCCCCGGGGAACGGGTCGGGGCTTCCGGGGGCCGCGCATCGAGAAATCAGGGCGTCCAACGTCTGGACTGCATCCACGGCTCGAATCGGGTCGCAATATCCATCCTCAGAGGCCCGAGGCTCCGGCAAAGTTGGACCTCGTTATGACTAGGCCACGTGACCGTCAAGCATCGACTCAGGACGAACAGCCGGCACTGGGGAAGTGATCCAGACCGCCGTGGTTCACGCATCGAGAAACATTGGAGCTCCAGATGTCGGGGTCCACGGCTCGACTCGGGGTTTTCGTCGGTTTCGCTGCTCGTTCCGGGGACGTTCCTGGAGCCTCAGGCTCCACTCACGCGTCGATGCTGCGTCGGACGTCCGTCGACTTGAGGCGAACTTGGGTCGAAATTGAATCGAGCCAGAATCGAACGGATCCGCCAGGCGGGCCCCAGGCGGGCCCCCCAAACTAACATCTACTCTGCTGCTGTTGTTGCTGTTGACTCGACAAGAGAGACGAAAGGAACGCAAGAATATGACAAACGACTTACATGACTCACATGTCAGTTTAAACATGCGAGGCACGAACTAACTAGGTCTAGATAGGAGAGGTACCAAGCTCCACGAGCGCTCGCCATCGCGTGTGCATCGACCCCGCTGCGCGGGGCCCCACGTTCGTGTGGGGATAGACTGCGCCAGACCCGACAGAACACGCAAAATGGGATGCTCTGGGGCTCGTCTTTGAAGGGGCCCCAGGACACACAAATAAATACACACAAATAAAAATAGCCCCCATATTTTCCCATATTTTCTGGGTTTTTGTCTTCCCCCCCACTTCCCATATTTTCCCATATTTTCCTGGGGATCAACGATTAATTGTGTCTGTGTGTTTCTTCCCCTCCTGAGTCTTGGCCTCCCCCATCTGAGAGACCCGGGCGGCGCCAGAAAATCGCGATGGCAGCCTGTCCGCCGCCTTCGGGCTCTGCAGGCCGCTCTCCCTGGCCCCAGGCACCAGCCAGACCCGACTCTGGAGGACCCGCCGGCCCCGGCCAGGAGGCCCACAGGGAGGCCAACGTCGCTGCAGCTCCTCGCGCCAGCGCGTGGCCGTCGACGCATGCGGCGCGCGGCCGCGCCTGTCGGCGTGCCCGCCTCGGTTCCTTCGGAGGGCACGTTCGCGGAGGGAGAGGAAGAGGAAGGGGAGGAGGAGGAGGAAGAGGAGGAGGAAGAGGAGGAGGAGGAGGAGGAGGAGGAGGAGGAGGAGGAGGAGGAGGAGGAAGGGGGCGGCGGTGGCAGAAGGGCGTCGGTATCCCCCAGGGGGCCCGTGCCGCGGGAGGGCGGCAGGGCGTCGGAGGATGCGGAGAAGCCCCCTGGGGCGCGCTCTCGCGTCGCCGCGCGGCCGGGCGCCCCGCGAGGTTGCCCAGCGGCTGGGGCCCCCCGCGAAGTTTTATGGTGGGGGCGTTGACCTAAGGAACCCCAAATAAGGAACGAGGCCCCTTTTTTCCATAAGTTCAAGCTCGATTTCCCTTCGAAAACCTTGGGAAAACGTGGGGCAAGCTGCGAAACACTGAAGGAACGCGGAGCCCCTCCCCAACGAAAAGGGTTCCTTCTTCAGGACCCCTGCTGTAATAAGAACGCCCGTTTGGACGGGTCTTGGGGGGCAGACGCCCAACGTCCTGAACAACGACAGTAGAAGGCAAAGATATCCACACCCCGTAGGAAGCGCACAGAGTGTGGAATCGGCCAGGGTGGGGCTGCTTCGTAGTTCCGTAAAAACGCCCAGGACCGTTTGGTAAACGTGAGTTATCGGGTCCGGGTGTTTTTCCCCTTCCCTTCAGATAAGGCGGACTTCTTTTCAAACATCCGACGATGTAATTTTCACTGCGCGGCCCCCAGAAGTCCTGACACCTTCCCTGAGAGGACCTTTTCGTCCCGGGTTCGTTCTGGATGGTCACCAGGCCCGCTAATGGGACCTCGAGGCCGAAATCGATGCCAAGGTAAAAACGAAGCACGTCGTCGGAGACCTGGGCTTTTAAAAATTCGGCATCCGAAGCTTGAGTATGTCGGCTCCAGGGGATGTGGGCACAAATGGTGCGGCTCTCACGCGGCCACGACTGGACGCAACTTGAACAACTGGCCGTCGGGGGACGTCTTGTGCCGACCGGGAGCAAAGGTAATGGGCGGAAGGGGTTGCCCCTGGGAGGGGCTCGATGGATGTATATACCACGTTACACGTTGCTTGGTCAGGCAAGGAGCTCGATCTATAAACGCCCCAGCTTCCCAACCTGTGGGGCACTAGAGCGTCTATACTCTAAACTCCTTCCCAGAACTGCTGTGCTCCTAACCCGACAAAATGACATCGAACCCCTCCGAGCCCCGAAGCACCGCGAGACCTTCAGGCTTGCCGAAAGCTTTGGGAACGTCGCTCGCCAACGGGTGCACGCTAAACGGGGGTCGCAGCGTGTCCAGGAACCTGCCCAGAGCCTGCCCATAACGGAGGCTCGGCTTGCGGCTTGCCACGCTCTTCACCGCGGGTGCTGCTCTTTGCTGAATTTCCCGGGGGGGGCCCAGGAGGCCCAGGTCGCCAAAGAGAAAAACGTCGTGATTTTGCGGCGCCTGGCGTATCCTGGTCAAGAGATCGAAGCGAATCCTGCCACGAGGTGTGACAACAAGGACCCCTCCAAGGCGCCCGCAGAGGCGAAAAGTCTGGAAATACCTTCCTCCTTCGTCGTCGTCGTTCTCCTCCTCCTCCTCCTCCTCCTCCTCCTCCTCGTCCTACGCTGCGCTGTTGGCAATGGTGTCTCGTGGACGCTGCCACGTCTCCTCATCTTCCTCCTACTCCTCCTCCTCCATTCCTTTTCCTTGTGAATGACTTCTCCCTGTCCCACCCCGAGGCCAGTCGAAAGGGTGGGCCAGGCGTTTCGCATGAGATTTCCCCACCATTTATGACCCTGAAGCATGACAGTTGGCACCAATTTCACAAATGGAGGGCGGGTCGTTTTCAAACTGGGGCGCTCGCCTTAGCGCCGCGCCCTTCGTTAAACAAAATTGCAAGAACTTCACAGATTTAGGGCGGGTGGTTTTCAACATGTGGCTCTCGCATTCGCGCCGTGCACGTTCGTTTCTTAGATCTTCAAGGGCTGCGCAGATTGATGGCGGGTGGTTTTCAAAATGTGGCTCCCGTCTTAGCGCCGCGCAAATTCGTTAAACCATGCAAGAGCTTCACGGATTGAGGGCGGGTGGTTTTCAAAATGCGGCTTTCGCCTTCGCGCCGCGCACATTCGTCAAGCAAATCTCGCAAGAGCTTCACGGCTTGAGGGCGGGTGGTTTTCAAACTGTGACTCTCGCCTCAGCGCCACGCACATTCGTTTAAAACAGTTGCAAAGATATCACGGGTTGAGAACAGCTCCTTTTCCAAACTTGTGCTCTCGTCCTAGGCCGCACACACTCCTGCACAAAAGCAGCAAGAGCTTCACGACTTCCCACGGTCAACATGCCAGAGGTGGTGTTTGGAAATATTCAGGATTATGAGGGCGCGACAGTTACGTTGATCCGCGGTGTTGAAGTCTCAGGAATGGCGTTCTGGCACAATTCAGGATCGTCGAGATGCAACAATCAGGTTGATCAATGGCGCTGGAGTCCCGAGACTAATGTTTTGGCTCGCTTCAGGCTCTTCAAACGGTTACCTCCCAACGAGGCAATTCCCTCAGTGATGATGATCCGCTTTAGGGGCCTATGAAGGGGGAGCTTGGAGGGAAGGCTTCTTCCAACATCGTTGATGACTCTTGGGTTTACACTGGTCCACTTCCTCCTCCTCCTCCTCCTCCTCCTCCTCCTCCTCCTTCTTTTCTTCCTCCTCCTCCTCTTCCTCCTCTTCTTCCTCCTCCTGCTCCTTCTCCTCCTCCTTCTCCTCCTTCTCCTCCTCCCATGGGGAGTATCATCGCTTCGCAATCGTCCCAGGGGTCCGGATCTGAATCCCCCTCTAACATATCCAAATGTGCTTCCAGAAATTCCAGGAGGTTCCCGCCGGGACCTCGTGAAGCCTCTGGAGGCTCAGAAAGAGCAACAAACTTCCAAACGCATTCAACGCCTCCCCCTCCGCCTCCCCCTTCCTTCTTTCCCCCCCTCCCTTCCTGCCTCCCTCCCTGCCTGCCTGCCTGCCTGCCTGCCTCCCTCCCCTCCTCCTTCTTCCTCCTCCTCCTCCTTCTCCTCCTCTCCTCTCTTCCTCCTCCTCCTCCTCCTCCTCCTCCTCCTCCTCCTCTTCCTCCCCCATTCAATTCCTGCTGGCGCCTTCCCTAGCTTGAGACCATTAACCCTCTCCTCTTCTACAACCTCCATTCCCCTCTCCTCATCCCCCCGCCCCCTCCCCCTTCGCAATCCCCCGTCCTCCCTCCCTCTCTCTCGTTCTCCTCTCTTTCTTCTTCCCGCCTACATCACGCAAGAGGCAGTACCGCAATCAATGCCCATCTACCGGCTCTGACACCAGGAACCATCCTAAGGCAAACAAGGCTGGGCATCGGAGACCCTGGAAGACAAAACCCTGACGAGCCACGGGCCCACGAATAGAAACCTGGCTTGAATATTCCCCCTCCCATCTCTCTTCCTTATGAACGACGCCTCCCTGTCGCACCTCGAAGACAGTCGAACGGGCGGGCTGGGTGTTTCGTCTAAGACTTCTACATCGCTTGTGATCCTGACGTTTGAACTTTGCGACACTTTCACGGATGGACAGCGGTCCGCCTTCAAAATGTTGTTATCGCCTCAGCGCCACGCACATCCAGTTTAGTAGATTGGAAGAGCTTCGCGGATGGAGAGCGGTCCGCTCTCAAACTTTGGCTCTCGCGTTAGCGCAAGAGTTTCGCGGATGGAGGGCCGTCCGCTTTCAAAACGTGGCTCTCGCCGTAGCGCCACGCACTTTCATTGAAATGTATTGGACGAGCTTCACGGATGAAGGGCGGTCCGCTTCCAAAATGTGCCCCTCGCCTTAGCGCCGCGCACGTTCGTATTGAACACAAGCAGCACTTTCAATATTATCGTGGCCACCGTCCCAGAAAGGGTGTTTCGGAACGATGTCGGAACGTCAGGGCAGAACAGTCACGTGAGTTTGCGGTGTTGAATTCCCAGGAATTGTGTGGCGCGATTCAGGAACGTCAAGGCTCAACAATAACAGCCATTCTCCCCAGGAGTGGGTTTCTGGCACAAATCCAAATGTTCAACCCGTTGTCTTCCAACGCGGCACTTCCCTCAGTGAGAATGAATCCCTGTAGGGGCCTATGAAGTGGGAACTTGGAGAGAGGGTTGATTACAATATCGCTAATGAGTCTTAGATTGGACTTGTCAATGCTCCTTCTCCTCCTCCTCCTCCTCCTCCTCCTCCGCCTCCCCAACACCCCTCATCCTCCTAGCGCGTCGCCACTCCGCCTCCTCCTGGCTCCTCGTTCCTCCGCCCCCCTTCCTCCCCCTCCCCCTCCTCTGGTCTCTTCCTGCTCCTTTTCCTCCTCCTCCCTTTTCCACGGGCCCCGCAAGGGCGGGGCCCAAGCTTCCCTGAGCGTCTAGGCGGATCCTCTCGAGACCCTAAGGGTCACAAGCTGTACCTTTCTTCAATATTTCCGCTTCTTACCACAGGCTTGCAACCACCTGCGGCGCATGCGGGCGTTTCACGACTGCTGCAAGGGGGGGGGGGGGGGGGGGTAAAAACCATGGTTGCAAAGGCTGGATGGAATCGTGCATGTGTGCGCAAGCGCCCGTCTCATAAGCTCGGGTCAGCAAAGGTACTGTAGCGGGCTGTCGTCCTGGGCTTGCGCCGTGAACTGGTACAGGCTGGCGGGGGGAGCGAATAGAAACCGCTCCTCCATGCTGGAATCGGTCTCTATTGCATGCTTTATCATGCTGGTGTGTACTATCTCTGTCAGAGGCGTCCACTCAAAACCTCCGCTTCCCCCTGGCTCTCCTCCTCCATCCCAGCTCGTCTTTTCGCCCTCCATCCTCTCTATAGTTACGCAATGTGAGTAATACTCTGTCTTCTTCTCCGACCCTGTGCGGAAAATGGGCCGCCCTTTTCCGCACATCGTGTACACACGCAGGATGCCAATATTAGATACGCCCCCGTGCCTTCACGACTTGGGCGTGTTAGAATGTCAGATGCTGCTCTGGAGGGCTTGCTTCATGATAAGCTCCACCCCGCTCTTCTCGCAGAAAGGAGCATGCAATACCCGCGCTCCCGAGGCAACGATCCCTCGTACCAAAACGATGCGTCCGCGCCACAAGGCTGCAAAACGGCCCAGGCAAGCAATATGGTGGCCCTATGTGCCCTGACGACGGGCCGGCCCCACGGCTGCAACATATGGCACCAAGACGGCCCCAACGTGCCTCCCGGAAAGACCACCTCCTCCTCGTCCTCCTCCTCCTCCTCCGTATCCTCCTCGTCGCAATCATCACCACCGACCACCATCATCATCACCACCCACGCCACCATCATGATAACTAAAAAACTGGACCATCACCAGCAACAACATCATCACCACGCACCCCCCAGGGCTGAAGACACGAAGTGCCGCACTTGACAGCATCCCGTGCCCCCCCCCTCGAACAACCGCTGCAAAGAATGCTGGCCTGGCACGGTGGTGGGACTTGCCGCAAGCAGCTGGGCATTGTCCCATGGCCCTGTGTGCCATGCGACCATGTTCAGTCCTTCGAACTGTGCTGCCGCTGAAGCGCGGGCCTCAGTTTTCAGATCGGTGCTCTGCTCCCGTCGATTCAGGATGGCACTCTCGCCCCGACGCGGGCCACTTTTGTGGATCCAAGTCCTTCTTCGTCGTTGCCGCCCCCACCATGTTCCCCTACTCCTCCTTCCCCTGTTCCTCCTGCTCCTCCCGCTACTCTCACTCCAGCTCTGGCTGCTGCTGCTGGTGTTAGCCATCCTCATCCTCCGCCTGTTCCTCCTGCCCGCCTTCCTGCTCATCCGCAACCCACCGCATCCAATGTACGCAGCCCCCCTTGTTTTCCGATTGCGCACCACTCGATGCTTTTTTCTTGTTTGGAGCCCCAGATCCACCACGACAAGTGTCGGTAGATGGGGAACAGCAGCGAGATCGGAAGAGATGGATGGGACGGCTCGAATGTCAGATATGGCGCGAGTGCACCTAGACTGCCTTCTGTAGTAATCATGAAGCAACCACCCATTACGACAACGGCTCTCCTCTATCCCCTGACTCTGGAAGGACAGCGGAGCACCCTCTTCGCGGATCGGATTCCACACAGAACAGCCGCGTTTTTGTTCTCATGGCTTTGCACCATCCCACTGTTATGAGGGACAATGATCGGGGGGACTGGCATAGGGGGGGATGCATCGACCTGGAATCGCCGATAGATCGGCGATAGGCCCCCGATAGTGAATCCGCACCTTCCTGGGCGGGTTGGTGCTATCAGACCCCTATCGGCGATCAATGGGCATTTGGCGGTCGATGCATCCCCCCCTATGCCTATCCCCCCCCCTATCGTTGCCCCTGATGTCATCGGTGGTTCACGACGGGGTTACCGCTGTGGCGTGGCCCTGGTTTGCGGCTCGGCGCTCTGTTCCCGTCGCTCAGAATGGCGCTCACGCACTGGCGCGGACCACTCTTTCTGTATCCGAGTCATTCCTCATCGTTGTCGTCCCCTTCGTTCCCTTCTCCAACTTCCCCTGGTCCCCTTGTTCGTCCAGCCTTTTCCAATCCAGTTCCCGCTGCTGCTGTTCATCCTCGTCCTCCTCCTCCTCCTGCTTCCTCATCGTCCTCGATCTCCTCCTGCTCATCTCCCTTTCTCCGACTGCGCATGTCACGTTGGGGTCGCGCCGGGGGCTGCATGTCCGCCATGACACGCGTCCGCGCATGGAGAAACTCAACGCAATGGGAAGGGATGAGTGGGAGGTAGGATGCCAGACTTGGCGCGAGCGCACCAAACTTGATATGCATGCTATGCACACTACTCTTCTCTCTCCCCCGAAGATGGCTGGGGAGCGCCCCAATTCCGCGCACGAATTGTTCATCCACAGGCGTTCGAACGTTGCTATTGCAAATGGTTCCATGTGAATTCCGGTCGTCCTCGGTGTCTCAAAAGGGTCCCGCTGCAACGTTGGCCAATGTTTCTGATCGGCGCTTTTCTCCCATCGCTCAGAATGGCGTCTCGCACCAAGGCGGGTCAGTCCGCTGGATCCAAGTGTTGTCTCATCGTTGTCGCCCCGTTCCTTGCCTCTCCCCCGCCTTCCCCTGGTCATTCTACCCTTCCTGCTCCTCCCGCTTCTGTGCATACTCGTGCTGCTCCTCCTTGCCCTCTTCCATCCTCATCCTCCTCCTTCTCCTCCTCCTCATCCTTGTAGTCTTTCTCAACTCTCCTCCTGCTCGCTGCTCGGGCCTTGTTTCTCTTACGAAGTGGCCTCCTACTTGGCGTGCCAGGCATTGCGCGCCGCTTGGCTGTCCGTCCGACCGTCCGTCTTCACGGTTTTCTGAGCCGCAGTGTTTGGAGCTTCTTAGCTGTGGGGCGCGTCGGCCACCGCCACTGTCGCTGTCGCCGTTACCCGCACCTGTGTCCTTGACGACGGTGTGGCAGCGGCAGTGGTGATGTGATCAGGGCAGGCTGCAGCACCGCTCAAGGATGTGCTGCTTAACAGAATCTGCAAATTGGGCCCTTTCCCTGATCCGTGTTTGGGGGCGGATCGTCTGCGCGCCTCGTCTCCGTCGTCGTTGTCGGCGTCGTCGTGGTCGTGTGCTTCTCTGCTCGGGACGTGTTTCCTTGATGCAATGACCCCCCGCTTGGCGTGCCAGGCATTGCGCGACGCCTGGCTGTCCGTCCGCCCGTCCGACCGTCTGTATTCCTGGCTCTCTGAGCCGCGGCGGGAGCAGCGGCAGTGCCGAAACGCGCCCAGAGTCCAGCAAGGCACGCGGGTGCAAACCCAACGTGCCTGGCTGATGCTCTGGGGGGGCACTTTGATCAGGGGAGCCTGCAGTACCGCTCAACGATGCGCTCTATAACCGAACCTGCAGGTTGGGCCCTGTCCCTGGTCTGTGCTTGGGGGCGGATCCTCTGCGCGCCTCGTCTCCATCGCCGTTGTCAGCGTCGTCGTGGTCGTTGTGTTTTTTTCTCTGCTCGGGACTTGCTTCCCTTACGCAATGACCTCCCACTCGGCGAGTCAATCATTGCGCGCCACCTGGCTATCCGTCCGTCCGTCTGGCGATCTTCCCGGCTCTCTGAACCGCGGTGGTTGGAGCTTCTTCGCTGCGGCGCGTCGGCCACCGCCACTGCCGCTCTCGCCGTCACCCGAATTCGTGGCCCTGACGACGGGGCGGCGGCGGCAGTGACAGTGCCGAGGCGCGCCCAGAGTCCAGAAAGGCATGAGGGTGCAAACCCGACTTGCCTGGCTGATGCTCTGGTGGGGGGCCTGTGCTCAGGGGAGGTTGCAGTACCGCTCAACGATGTGCTGTTTAACCGCGCATGCAGGGTGGGCCCTTTCCCTGATCCGCACTTCGGTGCGGGTCATCGGCGCGCCTCGTCTCCGTTGTCGTTGTCGGCGTTGTCGTAGTCGTGGTGTGTGTTGCTCTGCTCGGGACTTGTTTCTCTTATGCAACGATCACCACCCACCTGTTCCTCCCGCTCCTCCTCCTCCTCCTCCTCCTCCTCCTCCTCCTCGTTCTAATCCTCCCCACCTCGAGCTCATCCTCGTGCTCTTCAGCCACCTTCCGATCTGGGGGTTCCAAGTCCGCTGCGATACCAATCGGCGAATCTAGAAAGACACAGAATATGCCATACTGGGCGAAAGGAGCAGTTACGATACGATCTATTACGCGAGCGCGCCAAGATTGCACCCACACACTTGAACACTATGCATGCTACTCCTTCTTCCCCAAATCCTGTCCGAAATATGTTCGGCCTTCTCCGCCTACTGACTATTACTCAGCATGTCAAACACTGGTGCTCCTTTGTTCTGTCGGGGTGCAACATTATCGCTTTCGAGTTAAACAACGGTAATCCCGCTACAGCGTGGACTTCATGTTTGGATCGGCCCTGTGCTAATTACCGTCGTTCCGAATGGCACCCCCGCCCCACTGCGGGCCACGCTGCTGGATCCGAGTTCGCTTGTCTTCGGTCGGCACCCTCATTTCCCCTCCTCCGCTTTCCCCTGGTCCTCCTGCTCCTCCCGCTCCTTCCACTCCAGCTCCTGCTGCTGCTGTTCGCCCTCGTCATCCAGCCTCCTCCTCTTCCTCCTTTCCCTCTTGCTCATCCTCCTGCTCATCCACCACCTCCTTCTCAAACGTACTTTGCTACCGTTTTTTTCCCGATTGCGCATAATCGGGGTTGGACAGACCCCCCTTTAGCAAAACGTGGTTTAGTGAAAACGACCTGAGGCCCAAACCTGGCGGGCGCAAGCCTGGAAATAACGGCCACGGCGCCCTCTCGAAAACCGAAAACGGACAATTCACTAATCGACGTGTCACTGTTGGGGGTTCTGTCCACCCCCGACATAATAGGATGGGGTCATTGTGGGTGTTCCAAGTCCGCTATGGCACTTGTTGGCAGATGAAGAAAATAAGCACAATTCGAAGGGATGGGAGAGGGGGGGCGCATGCCAGATGTGGCGCGAGAGCGCTGAGCTTGCATCTCTACTCTATCCTCCCCGTCTCCTCCTCCTCCTCCTCCTCCTTCTCCTCCTCCTCCTCCTCCTCCTCCTCCTCCTGTTCCTCCTCCGCCTCCTCCTCCTCCTCCTTCTCCGCCTCCTCCTCCTCCTTCCCCCCTCCCTCCTGGCGCTCAGGCATCCTCGGAAGCCCTCCGCGCACTCACAGCAAAGACAAGACAGGGGGGCCACGACGAAGGGATTAGCGGGGACAGAACGGGGAGCGGAAGAGAGCCAGCGAGACGGCCGCCTCCCTCCTCCCTCCTCCCTTACTCCCCTCCCCTCCCAGCTCTTCGCCCCCCCCCTCCCAGCTCTTCGCCACTCTCCTCCCAGCCCTCCTCCCCACCACTCCCTCCCCTTCCTCCCCCCTGCTCACTCTTCGCTCCCCTCCTCCCCCCTCCCGGCTCTTCGCACCCCTCCCTCCCTTGCCCCTCCCCATCCCTCCCCATCCCCAGACCCCCGACGTCATGATTTTTCATTACGCGACCCCCAGAGGTCCGGACCTATTCGCCGGGACCGGTTCTGCATCCCTAGTCGTTTTTTGACGGTCCCGAGGGCCGGTAAGGGCCCCTGGAGGCCGACAATAGATACATATATATATATATATATATACACATTAAAAGAATAAACCTCCCGTCGTGATTTTTTCATGACCCGATCGGAGGGGGTCTGGGTCCCCTCCCTTCCCCCCGACCAGCTGTTCCCCTCCCCTCCCCTCACCTCCCCCGGCGCCCCCCCCCGCGAATCGCCGCCCCTGCCCCCACCCATCCGGGGGGGCGCGCCTCTCCTCGCGGCGGCGCAGCCTGACAGGGAGTCGACGTCGCCATCGTTGTCGTCGTCGTCGTCGTCCTACTCCTCCTCCTCGTCGTCCTCCTCCTACAACAACTCCTCCTCCTCCTCCTCCTCCTCCTCCTCCTCCTCCTCCTCCTCCTCCTCCTCCTCCTCCTCCTCCTCCTCCTCCTCTGCGCGTCTCGGGTGGCCGTTCGGGCTGATCCTGGCGTCCCCGGACTGCTCACGGCGTGGCGCAGCTACTGGAGACCAGCTCAATGCTGGTGAAGATGCCAAAAGCATCGAGTCCTCAAACGGTCCTCCTCATCCTCCTTGCTCTACCCTCCACCCTCCTGATCCTCCCTGCCCGCCGCTCCGTCCTCCTCGTCCTCAAACTCCTCCTCCCTCTCCTCCTCCATCTTCTCCTCCTCCTCCATCCTCCTCTTTCCTGCTCCCTTCCTCCTCCCATCTCCATCTTCCGACCTCCTTCCCCTCCCCCTGCTCCCCCCTCCCTCCTCCGCCTCGTCGGCAGTCTGCGATGCTCAGACGAAGCCCGCCGCAGGCCCCGAAATTTGACAGATTGCACAACGAGCCCGCCGCATGGGGCGCCGAATTTTCATCAAAGCAATGGGTGGGTCGCGAGTGGGTCGGTGGGCCGCGGGTGGTTAGCTGGCGAGGGCGACGACAGCAACAATTATTTCAAGACTGTTCGTTCTTACCGTCTGGCGTGTCACTCAACACGTACATCCCCAACCCTCGATGCCCGCCCGCTTCGTCTTCGATCGCACCACCCTTGGGGGTACATCGTCTGTACCTGCCACGTGTAGTTGAAGCAGCTCCTGCCACAGGGGTAGGGAGGGAAGAGGAAAGTGACAAGGGGGGGGGGAGCGATGGAGCACGAGAGAGATTAGCAGTAAGTCGGGCCTGTCCCCCATACAGGCCGATTTAGGACGAAAAATTTGGAATACCCCCAAAATGCAACAACAATGCTCAAAAATGATCAAACATACACCAAACATGCTCAAATACTATTTTTGAATATTCCCCCTGTAGAGGGACAGGGTCGACTTAAGATTAGCAGGAGGGGGATTAGGCCGGAGGAGGGCAAGCGGCAGAACCAGACGGGCGGGTCGGGCGGGTCGAATCCGAACGGGCGGGTCCCAGACGGCCGGGTCGAGCGGGCGGGTCGCTGAAACGTCAGTGCGCATGAGTTGCGAGGAGGTCTCGAGCGACAACGCGATTCCCTAGCAAAGCCTGAGGAAGTCTAAAGCTAGAGCGTGATTCCTGAGTGTCGACATCGCGGCGTCCCAATACATTGACATGGAGTCACACGCGAGAGAGCGATTGTGGAATGCATTGTAAGGAAGTCTCGCGCGAGAGCGCTGTTGTTGAATGGCCTCTTGGAAAGTATTCCGCGGGAGCCGTTGTTCTGGTAGGTCAGGCGCCGACAGCGCATCCTGAGCCTCACGCCTCTCCTCTGCTTTACAGAGGGTGCGATCCCGGGGATGAGCACTTCAAATGACAAAAAAAACACGATGGGCACCCGAGGAGGGGGGATCAACAGTAGTTCTTCCTGAGACATGAGAACGCAAAACAACAACAACAACAACAACAACCACAACAACAACAACCACAACAACAGCAGCAACAACAACCACAACAACAACGACCACAGCAACCACAACAACAACCACAACAACAACAACAACATCAGCCACCACCACCACCACCAACAACAACAACAACAACAACACCAACAACAACAACAACAACAACAACAACAACAACAACAACAACAACAACAGCAACAGCAACAGCAACAGCAACAACAACAACAACAACAGCAACAACAACAACAACAGCAACAACAACGAGCAGAAGCCGCACCGCGACCGCGGAACCCCACTTCAGCCAGGCGCCCAGGGACAGTGAATGACCGTTGGGCACCCTCGCTCTGATACTTGCTTCAATCGGGGCAGTCATGGCAACTAGAGGTCGTAGCACAGGGCCTACGACTGATTTTTAGTATTAATAGCTCGAGGAATACTCGTGTATGTAATCGCATGGCTAGTTCAAGATATTGCCACGACCATAGGCAGTTCGACATACCATACTTGCGGATAACGTAGTGCAAAGAACTCTAAGGAACTGCAAGGGCCAGGAGGTGGACTGCCAGGCCCCTGTGTGGAAAGCTCTTCGGAGTTCTGCTGCCGCAGAGATGTCATCAAAGCCTTGGGTCCGATGCCAGAGTTTCTGCACAGCGGCCCTGGACGCCGGCTCCCCTGGCGGTGCACGTGCAATATCGATGTCCAGCCTCAGGCTTGGCCCCGAGTAGCGCAAGGGGAGGAGGAGGAGGAGGAGGAGGAGGAGGAGGAGGAGGAGGAGGAGGAGGAGGAGGAGGAGGAGGGGCGACGGCGGCGATGGCAACGACGACTCGGAGACAGAGCTCTGGGCTCCAGGCCTGCGTTCTGCCAGAGAACGTCGAGGCGGAGGGCAGCCGCGGCGGCGAGACGCCTCCCGGAGGAAGGTCGCAGAGACGCAACGACCCAGAACCTCGTCCCTGAAGGGACGCTGGGACACTCCACACATCAAGCCGCCAAATGTCTGGCGAAGGAACGGGCTCCAGAAGGCTGGGGCCCCTGTTGAGGGAGCACGCGACGTAACGACATGGGCCGTCTCCTTGGGAGACCGCGCCTCATAGGGGCCGCAGCCCCTGTCCCCCCCCCCCCCCATCCTCGCCCTCGCCCTCCTCTACCTCCCCCTCTGCTTGGGCCCCTCCCCTCTACCTCCCCACCTTCCTCCCAGGACGGACGAAGCATCGGCATGAGACAAGAACATCAGCTGGCGGAGGTCCGCGTGGACTTTCTCGGGATCGGTGCTGCACCGCCCCGCCTGGCGCGCTTTGAGCGCGCCAGGGGAAGCACCCGGAGGCGCCGCCCGGGGGGGGAGCCCGCGCGATCCACGAGAGCCGCGCGGGCGTCTCCGAGGACCGATGCCCGTGCAGACGCTCGTCTTCGATGCCTGACGCGCGGAGCGCGCTAGGGGACGCACCAGGGGCGCCGCCAGGGGGACTCCAGCGCGATCCATGCCTACAGCCAT